ACGCATCCCTCCCTCCGCTCCTGCATCCCGAGGGGCGACCCCCGGGTCCTTCAGGACCAAGGGCATGGTGGACAAGAGGTTATTTCCATCCCCTCGTGCAACCCAGCGGAGGTCTGGCGAGAGCGGGTGGCAGCCTGGCTTCTCATGGGGGAACTCCCGGTGCGCTCGGGGCATAAACAGCCGGGCCCCGAGCTGCGGGACAGGCACCGGCCCCAGCCCTGCGCCCGTGTTTTGGACCATCCCCAGGCTGAGCTCCTCCTTCTTGTCCCCAACTACCTCCCAGAGGTGGTATCAAATCTGGGAGGATATGATGGGCCTGAGGGCAACCTGGGAACAGAGCGCGTGCACAGCGCCGCAGGGAGTGGGTGACCGTCCCGCTGCCGTGGGGTGTTGTAAGGCCACGGTCCTGCTTGGCTGCTCCTAACGCGATGCTTATGTCTCTGGCTGAAGGCTGCCGGGCTGCCTGCCACCATGCCACGGGGGTTTGAAGCTGCCCTGCTGCCGCGCACAGAGCGTACCCGCTACCCTGCTGCGATTCCCAGGGGTGTGGGGACAGCCCGCTGCAATGCAGGAGCATCTCGTGCTGTGCACAGCTCTCCGCGTGCCTCCCAGCCCTGACATGCAGCCCTGTCCCTGACCAGCTCCTGCTCTCCGTGCTGCCCTGGGCTTTGAGCCAGAGACATCACCTCATCCGCCTCGGTGGCAGCATGAGGAAGGTCCGGATGTGCCACTGTCCCAAGCCCGGAGCTGGATGCCCCAACTTGCTCTCCACAAGCAGGACAACCATCAGCTCTGGACCTGTTCCATCCCGAACCCTCCCATTACCCATCTTTCCCCTCCATCTCCGACAGGGCTGATCCCACCCTGGGTTCTCCGTCCACATCTTTCATTCCCCGGATAGCTCGCTCTGGGCACGCAGAGACCTCGGTGCCTGCCTGCTCCCGGCTCTGCTCATGCACCCGCTGCTCCGGCAAAGCCTCCAGCTCTGTGGAGGGCTCAGTGGCCACGGGCAGCACCAGTGGGTTCGGGAGCTGCACCCACCCTCCCGCCAGCGGCACAGCACCCTGAGACACCCACCCTGCCCCTCCGGCCCACTGGGCTCCTTTGGGGTGCACTGTGGGGCTGCACCCCCACGTCCCCATCTCCCTTGGGGCCCCTCTGCCGAGCCCGTGCCGGCGCCAGCACTGGCGGGTGGGTGACGCTTGTGTCCCCGCAGGCGCTCGGCCAAGTACAACCTCTGCAGTGACAACCATGGGATAAAGCCACCGACGCCGGAGCAGTATCTGACACCCCTGCAGCAGAAGGAGGTCTGCATCAGGCACCTGAAAGCTCGCCTGAAGGACACGCAGGAGCGGCTGCAGGACAGGTGAGCGTGGGCGCAGCGGGCACAGACCCCCCTGGCACGGGAGCTGCTGGGAAGGGTGCTGGCACCAGCAATTGCCACCCGCAGCAACCGTGCCTGTGGGACTGGTCCTTCTGGGGGCTCTCAGTTCCCAGCACCGCTTCTTGTCCTCGGGCTTGTGCCCAGGCATGAGGTTCACGGCTTTGCAGCGGCGTTGCAGGCACGTGGGCACGTGGCGTGGCCGCCTGTCCAACCAGGGAGCCCTGGATTCGGGGGGCTGCGGAGCCCGTACGTCCCACCTGCGGTGGCTGTGCTCTCCCCTGCGGCCCCAGTTAGGTCTCTGCCACGCTTTTTCTGAGTTTCAGCTTCAAAGAGTGGCTAATCCCCATCTGGTCCTCTCGGGCTTAGGCACGTCCTCGCCGGCGTGCCAGCTGCCACGCATCCGCCTGGGGCACCTGCCTGTCCCCACGCAGCCCTCGGGAGCCCTGAGCTCTGCATCCCCTCTGGGAGAGGGCTGAGCATCCCTTCCGAGGGTCCCCAAGCATCCCTCCCGAGGGTCCCCGGGCATCGCTCCTGATGGTCCCTAAGCCCCCGGGTCCATCCCTGGGTCCCAGCCGCGAGTGTTACTGGGTGATCTGGCTCCAGCTCGGTGTTGGGCACCTGAGAACAGGGCTGGCCCCGCAGCCCCCTCAGTGCCATGGCGGTGCCCTCCCTGTCTCTCGCAGGGATGCTGAGATCGAGGACCTGAAGACGCAGCTGTCACGGATGCAGGAGGATTGGATCGAGGAGGAGTGCCACCGCGTGGAAGCCCAGCTGGCGCTGAAGGAGGCCCGGAAGGAGATCAAGCAGCTGAAGCAGGTCATCGACACAGTGAAGAACAACCTGCTGGAGAAGGACAAGGGGCTTCAGAAGTATTTCGTGGACATCAACATCCAGAACAAGAAGCTGGAGACGCTGCTGCACAGCATGGAGGTGGCGCAGAACGGGGCGCTGAAGGAGGAGGGGGCTGGCGAATCAGCCGGGGGGTCCCCAGCCCGATCCCTCACCCGCAGCTCCACCTACACCAAGCTGAGCGACCAGGGGGCCGGGGACCGCAACGTGGGGGGCTCGCAGACCATCTCGCTGGACGAGGGGGCCGACAGCGGCTTCGCGGGGGCGGAGGAGGCTCCCGGCCACACGGACCCGCTGGAGGTAG